GCTATCGCCAGGGTCCATGCAGCTGGTTCCAATCACAGTAGCCCTACGTACAGCAGAACAGAAACCTGTCCACGCCTGCGCCGCTGTCCTCATCTTTGGACCAACTGTTGCAGCTGCTGACTCAATCCATTTCACTGAAGCGCTTCCTCGTTTTCACTGATCTTCTACTTTACAAAGCACAGTGTCCTCCTACACAACTGGTCCTTCCTGACAACAAGCCCAAAGTAGAAGAGACGAAGTCTCACCGTCCTCCATTCGAAGGAGCAACTGGCTGCATCTCTTCTAAGACAGTTTTGTTCATTCTCCGGAAATTTATTGTTGTTGTTGTTGTTGTTAGGTGCCGTCGAGTCGGTACCGACCCATAACGACCTTATGCACAGCAGAACGAAACACTGCCCGATCCTGGGCCAACCTCACTACTGTTGCCACGCTTGAGTCTATCCATGTTTCCACTTGGCCAATCCATCTCATTGTGGTCTTCCTCTTTTTCTCTGACCTCCACCTTATCAAACATGATATCCTTCTCCAGCGACTGCTCCCTCCTGACAATACATCCGCAATATAAGAGACAGAAGTTTGGTCATCTTGGCCTCCAAGGAGCATTCTGGCTGCACTTCTTCCAAAACGGACATGGGTTCTTTTGGCAGCCCATGGCACTTTCAATACTCTCCTCCAACACCATAACTCAAATTCATCAATTTTTCTATGGTCTTCCTTATTCACTGTCCAGCTTTCGCATGCACATGAGGTTATTGAAAATACCATGGCTTGGGGTCAGGAGCACCTTAGTCCTCAAGCTGACATCTTTGCTCTTCAATATTTTAAAAAGGTCTGGTGCAGCAGATTTGACTAATGCAATACGTCATTTGATTTCTTGGCTCCTGCTTACGAGAGTGTCGATAGTTGATCCAAGAAAAATGAAATCCTTAACAACTTCAATCTTTTCTCCATTAATAAGAATGTTGTTTATTGGTCCAGTGGTGAGGATTTTTGTTTTCTTGACATTGAGATTAATCCATACCGAAGGCTGTGCTCTTTGATCTTCATCAGTAAATGTTTTAAGTCCTCTTCACTTTCAGCAAGCAAGCAAGGTTGTATCATCTGCATATCAAAGGTAGTTAATAAGTCTTCCTCCAATCCTGATGCCACGTTTTTATTCACAGAACCCAGTTTCTAGGATTATTTGCTCAGCATACAGGTTGAATAAGTATGGTGAAAGAATACAACCTTGTCGCACACCTTTCTTAATTCTCAGTGTTCCCAAGTTCTGTTCGAACAACTGCCTCTTCGTCCAGGTACAGATTCCTCATTAGTACAATTAAGTGTTCCGGAATACTCATACTTCACAATGTTGTCCACAGCTTGTCATGATCCACACAATTGAAAGCCTTTGCGTAGTCCATAAAGCACTGGTAAATGTCTTTCTGATATTCTCTGCTTTCAGCCAAGATCGGTCGGACATCAGCAATGATATCCCTCATTCCACGGCCTTTTCTGAATCTGGCTTGAACCTCTGGAAGTTCTCTGTCAATGTATGCTTGCAACTGTTTCTGTATTACCTTTAGTAAAACTTTACTTGCATGGGATATCTAAGAGATTGTCTGATGATTTTCGCATTCCGTTAGGTCAACTCCCTTTGTAAGGGGCACAAATACGGATCTCTTCCAATCAGCCAGCCAGAGAGTTGTCTTCCAAATTTCTTGGCAGAGATGAATGAGTGCCTCCTGTGTCTCATCACGTTCTCGAAAGATTTCAATTTTTATTCCATCAATTCCTGGTGTCTTATTCTCTGCCAATTCCTTCAATGCACCTTGGACTTCCTCCTTTAGTATCATTGGCTCTTGGTCATATGCTACCTCTTGAAACATTTGCATATTAACCATTTCCTTTTGGTACAGTGACTCTGTATTCCTTCCGCCTTCTCTTGATGTTTTCTGCATCATTCAATAATTTGCCCTGAGAATCTTTCAATAATGAA